ATATATGTATTTTATCGATTACGTTCAAACACTAGAAATATTGTATTGTGTATCAGTGTTTATAATAATGTAATAAAATCTTTGTGTGCGTTAGGCGTCACTTGGTTGAACTAGTTTTCATACATTTGTATTTTATGTCAGGTCCAGTCTCTAATTCGTCCATGATTATACATTATAACATTTAAACTTTCGCATTTTAAATAGTAGTGTGATATTTTAAAATTATATTATTTTAACCCATAATGTTGTTCAATCTTTATGAAAAATAAATTTACTAAAATCAACTGTACCTCACCGATCATACAGAACCGAGGACCTCCGACGCAACTAGCAATGCCAACCAGACTATAGCTGAGCTATAACAACCGTAATTTCATTCCGCATTAAACTAATATTACATAATCAAGTACAAATTAAGAATTTTTTTACTCGTCACGTAAATGACACATCCTATCGATACTTTCCATTCCAGCCGCGGGGGAGAAAGTCGACACCGTAACAATGCTCTCGTAAGTCGTAGGTATAATTTTGTGTATTATGCGATGTCAATCACTTCTTATTAAAGTTACGTATATTAAGTGTACCGTTTCTATGAATGAATATATCATATTTTGTAATTTTTTATTTTTAGTTTTATTATTAGAAACGTGCTAGAGTGGAGTTTAGACCAGCGTAGTGTAGGACGCCCTGCAGCACGATTTAGACGTATTAGAATTCTGCTTATAAAAAAATCTGTTCGATATATCAAGCTAGCAATTTCACGTATAAATTGACGACGACCGTTACACATCACGTGTATAAAATCTGTCAGAGGTCGCGAGTTCGATTTTGGATTTTCATATACCTCACTATTGCGGCGGAGAGCAGTCGATTGAGACGATTTTCTGGCGTAGCCTCTAAAAAAATATCGCCGTCCACTGCTGAAGAAGGGCCTCTCCCAATGAGCGCCATCCATCCCGGTCCTGGGCAGCCCGCATCCATCCACTGCTAGCCAGCCACCTTTCTTAGGTCATCTGTCCATCGCGCTGCAGGGCGTCCTACACTTCGCTGGCCTAAACTCCACTCTAGCACGATACCTTAAAGATTATAATATCATCTCAAAATCACAATATGGATTTCGTCAGGGCATTTCCACCGAGCACGCAGTAACTGCACTAACTAAAATTGTAACGGAACAATTAGACAACTGTAAACCTTGTCTAACTGTATTCCTTGATCTGAAAAAAGCTTTTGATACTGTCTCTGTCCAAATCCTTGTAAAAAAGCTTGAACATATTGGGGTACGTGGAATTCCACTACACCTCTTAAATGACTACCTCTCAAATAGGAAGCAGAAAGTTAGGGTTACTCATTACACAAGTGAATATGCAGACGTATCATATGGTGTACCGCAAGGCAGTGTCCTGGGACCTACTCTGTTTGTCATCTATGTAAACCAGCTCTATAATATACAACTAACAAATACTAAGGTATTCTCATATGCTGATGATACAGCTCTAGTCTTTACAGGTAATTCTTGGCACGATGTACGGCTTAATGCTGAAATAGGGTTCGCTAAAGTAGCCAGGTGATTGTCTAAGAACCTACTCACACTGAACATTTCTAAAACAAATTATATATGCTTTAGCATATGTAAACGTACCCAACCTAGCGACGATTTCAATATAAAAATACATCTGTGTAATAATGATGAAAGCACTACCTGCAGTTGCTTAAATATAACGAGGGTTCCATGTCCTAAGTATTTGGGTGTTTTCATTGACCAGAGATTATCTTGGCATTCTCAAATCGATCATGTGGCAAACAGAGTCAGAAAATTGAGCTGGATGTTTCGGTCCCTAAGACACATAGTTCCTAAACAAGTTTTTAGCAGCTCATCTCGCCCCAGGAATCTCTGTGAAATATATTTTGCCTTAGTACAATCAGTGCTATCATATTGTATCCCGATTTGGGGCGGAGCTGCTAAAACGAAGTTTATTGAACTTGAGAGAGCACAACGTGCTCTAATGAAATGTATGTACTTTAAAAACTTACATTTCCAACTGAGAATCTGTACCAAGTTAGCACACTGCTCTCAGTTAGAAAGCTGTATATTACTCAAACTATACTAAAAGTACATAAGGCTGTTTCCTATGATAAAAACCCTTAGTTACAATGATACGGAAAAACTGTTAGAACATATTCATTAAATACTCACACACGCACACACACACACGCACACGCACACGCACACGCACACACACACACTCACACACACACACACAGACACACACACACACACACACACACACACACACACACACACACACGCACACACACACACACACACACGCACACACACACACACAAACACATATATGCACGCTAATTGTTATTTTTTGTTTGTCTTAATTGATCTATTTAAGTTTGTAGTATTACCCATAATATTATAATCAGATAAATGATAAAATTACGTTTTGTTATGAAAGGGCGGGGTCTCCTAATACAGGCAAATTATTTGCTTAAAAGGGGATCTCAACCACAAAATTTGAAATTTTGATTTGATTTGAAATAAATAAATAAATTTCAAATTGATCAATTAATTATATGTTAATTTTTATTTCAAATGTAAATGAATATTGTTATCTAATTTATAGTTATAATAATAAATTGTTATAATTGTTATAAAGACAATAAAAGAAGAATGAGAACGAAAACAACATTTTTATTTCTTCATATTACAAAACAGATAATATAATAAATTATATCTGTAAGGGCCACTTGCACTAAATTCTTAAATACGTTTAGGAATCGTCGAATTATTTGTTTCGTACATTTTTATGAAGAAAATTCAAATATTAAATCAAATCAAATTAAGAATTTGGTGTAGACGGACCTTATTTAGTATTTTAGTATCTTGTGGTAATAGCGCCATGATTTTTAATTCCGATGTCATTGCCTAATGTTTTTTTTTATTTTTTATCTTTTTTCCTTCAAATTTAAAGCCAAACCAATAATAAATTAAAATAAATGCAAACCTACCTAATCAACTATACAATTATATCAAATATTTAATTTAATTTATAGAATACTCGCAGAATAACACAATGCTTTAATTATAAAAATAAAAAACCCGACTGCATACAAGCTAACTAAAAAGATGAAAACAAGTTCACGATGGAATATAGTATTATACAGTCGGAGACATACATACATATTATAAGTACATCTCGCGGCAAAGATGCAACGTGTGTCTCCGACTGCATTATACTATTCCTTTGTCAACTTGTTTTCATCTTTTTAGTTAGCTTTTATGCAGTCGAGTTTTTTATTTTTATAATACATTTTTTTATTTACCGCTTTTTATTTTTTCCCAATTAGAATTGAAGTAATATTTAACATTTTTTATCCTAAATTACTTTTAAACATATAAGTTATATATAATATTTTCGTGATCGCCTCTTAAATACCTTCATTTTCATACCCCCCTCGATTAGTTTAGAAGAAAATTTTTTTAAAGACACAAATTGGTGCCTGAAATCGAAATATAAATCAAAAATGATTGTGTAAACGTTAAATTGAACAACCATCACATTCTATACTATAGTCCATTCGCGTTAAGAAAATAGTAAGTCATCAAGTGCAACGGCAGGTAAAGGTGTATTCACAGTGGAGTAAAAATTCAAATATATTTCACATAATAACTAGATTCAATTTAATGGATAAAAATCAACTTAATTATCTTAAATCAAAATAAAGTCATTATATTAATGATAATGACTCTATTTTGATTTGATATAATTAATCAACTTAATTATCTCAAATCAAAATAAAATCATTATAAGTCAATTTAAATTTGCCTTCAACTGGTCATTATGACTGACTTGACTGAATAATTTTATGCGACCTAATTGGTCGGGGGGCGTGGCTCGGCCGGTGGACTATTATGACTCACTATTTTCTTAACGCGAATGAAGTATAGTTATATTCCCATTCACCGTCAACATTTCCTAACCAATTTTATTTCATTTTTGTTGTATATCCAGATGATTATAATTTATGTTTATTATATCAAATATACATAGGCGCATATGCAGAGTATATAATCTATACATATAACAAATTTCTTAATCGAATCTGTGCATAAATTTTTTTTGGAAAATCTTATTGAAATAACTATTATTATCGATACAGAGGCCGAATCTATAGGTTTTAGAATTTTTGTCTGTCTGTCTGTGACTGCTCATGAAATTTGTTATTATGATGCTGGTTATCCGGGTCATCATATAGGATACTTTTAACTGCGGGAAAATATCTCATCTCTGAGAAATCTATGTACACTAATCGTTAGAACGTAAGCAAAGTACGCTAGAACTTTTATATGAAGGGAAATAAATATACCCTGCGAATTTTGAAAAAACAAAACATGTCTGCATAAATAATGACGTCCAGACCGATTTCAAGCAAGGCAGCCAATCTCACTAAGACTAGCCAATTACGCGGGAAATATGTTAGTGTACATAATAAACACGCAGACAGACTTCGGGTAGTTACTGGGAATTCCTTAAAAGAAAGACACAATAACTAAACTTGGTCCGAACCGGCACTCGAACCCAGGACCTCTGGAATATGCACTACCTCCCTATTATAGCGGTCGAGAAAGAAGAGATATAGTAAATTTTAATATTATTAAGCAAAAACTACTAATTTATACATAAATTTTCGTCTTCAATAGTTAATCTAAACTAAAGAGTAATGACACCGGAAGTTACATTTAAATATTCGTTACATTTCAACAGTTTATCTAACGAATGATACCGGAAATGACGTATTAAAATATTCGCGCTATTTTAAATAAAACTATCTTGTCGGATTTTAACGAGACTATGATTGCTGTAATGCATTCGAAACATCGGGAACCAAAAATCAAAATAAATCCGCGAAACAATCCGAAAAGATAGTTTTATTTAAAATGTCAAATATTCGCGGAAATCTAAGTAAATATTATTCGCGCCATCTTAACTCCTGTTGTATCTATTGCCCCAGCCGCGGCGGTGCTCGTCCTTGTACTCGTCCATGTTGCGTTTCCTTGCCAACTCTTCGGGATCGTCGTCGTCCACTAAACGTTCCTGTATTAAGAGCAATATTAATATTAAATACATCAGTAAAAGAAATTAAAGTTTGTTTTATAGAAACTCTTTACTGCGACTTTTTACTTTGGGTGACGTCACTAGCTGAATACGATATTTGCATATATCCTCAAAATAAATTATTTACCTTTTTTATCTCTTCTGCTTCATCTGCATCAGCCTCAGTAGTTTGAATCGTGGCGTGAGGTATATTTGTACCGGAACTTGGAAATCTGATTAAAAAAAAACAAATAATAGCAATATTACTTCACAAATCACAATTTATAATACACTAGCAGTACCCGCGTCTTTGTCCGCATTCAAACTTTCGATATAAACATCAGTTTTACAGTCATGTACGGAAGTCTGCCTGATTTGTTGACATTTATGATTACTGCTCCGCTCCCTTGGGTAGCAACATGATGATATATAGTCTATAGCCTTCCTCAATAAACGGGCTATCTAATGCAAAAAGAATTTTTCAAATCGGATTAGTAGTTCCTGAGATAAGCGCATTCAAACAAAAAAACTCTGTCTCTTTATAATATAAGTATACATACAAAATGATAATGCATATTATGTTAAAAACACCTTCGCGAAAAATAACTAAGTATGTAACTGACATTCCCCCTAGCATTAAAGGGAGACCCACGCCCAGCAGTGGGACGTTAAAAAGAGCTGAATACATAGAACTGAAAAATAGTTACCTACGTATCACTGGCATAAAATATATTAAGTCAAACATATCTAAATATTTAAAGTCTTTATTTGCTTGGAAAACCAAGTGAAGTGTGTTCAAATCTGTGTTCAATAGACACCTCTCCTCTACCTCTGATATTTTCATGTGCAAATTATTTTCAACATGATTACCACTTGCGTTACAGTTAAGGAAAACTTCATGAGGAAACCTACAGGTCTGACAGGATATAAATAATTTTCATTAACTTAGTGATATATGACCGGGTCATAATGGATCGAGATCCAGCTGCAAGATTGCTACGTTCATAGCGTATTTAATCAAAATATTTTTTTATATACAATAATAAAAGGGACTATATGTTTTGACCGGGTGCCTATTAAAATGTGCCCGCTAGTATGTTTCATTAAATAAATAATAATTGACTTTTTTGGAACAAAAACGATGCATTTGTTATTAAAATGAATTATACTCCACTTCACAGAAATATACGTAGAGATCTTGAAAAGTGATAGCTGCCGTTGCGCACTTGGCCGCAACCTCTTCGTAGCCAGGTCTAAGCAGGTCATATTTTGTTACGTTTATACGTTCATGGCGTATATTCGTCATTTATATATCAAATTAAAGCATTTTTTTTTTTCAGTTTGCTAATTTGCTTCACGGCAGTCGGGTAAAAAGAGCTGAATATGAAGGTTGTTTAGAAATATTTTAATTTACTCACATTCCATCTCTCACTCTCTTATCGTAGAACTCCTCTACAGTCATTGTAGGAAGCGAAGGATAGCCGGCTCCATACACTGCCTTTTGTATGGCATCGCGGGTTATTATTACTGGCTTTAAAGGAGGTGCCCTTTCCCTATGTGACGGTTTAGGTTCTGAAAAACGAATCATTTATAAAAACTCATTGCAAATAATTTTCAATGGGATACTTCTAAATACTATCTGCAAACTATATATACTATATAACTAACTATAAGTGTTTGATGTACAGAGAAAAAAGATATTTAGGGGTTCCTAACTGCAAATCACATGTATCAGACATTTATTTGTTGATTTTATTTAAAGCCTACAAAATATTAAAAATAAGAATAAAAAAACTTCAAAGTTTACTGTCTACTACAGAATAGATACAATATAATTTCTGTAATTATTCTTATCTTACTATATTTATAGATATATGTTATAGATAGATGTTTGTTACTTTATCACGCCAGAATGGCTGAATGAATCTGGATGTACATTGTACATATTTGGCACAGAGTTAGATTATAGTCTGGAATAGCACATAGGTTACTTTTTATCCGGTAAATGTATGGTTTTCGTGGTATAGATTTGTTTTTGCTTTTCACAGAACAAATTCCCATAAAATACACTTGCAATAACTAGTTATATCTAGTTAAAACATATCAAGAAATGCACCCGAGCAATGCGAGGGTAAGTCACTATATAATTTATATATAAAAACACTCAAATCTATACTTCAAACATTACCATTAAAAAAACTTACATAAAAAAAATTCTAATAAAAAAATTAAATAACATACCTCCAGCACATTTTGCCATATATTCCAAAATAGGTTTCTCCTGCTCAATGCTACTTAGTTCATCTAAGGCTTGGGTCACATAATTAAGTAAGAGTGTTGTAAAGTACTGCCGCTTAGTTTCATCATCTGCATTTGGTGAAGACATAGCTTTCGATAGTGTTGTAAGTTTCTCTTTCAATTCTTTAATTTCCTTATACCTTTTTATTTTTGCTTCTCTCGATAGGACCTAGAAAATTTTATTATATGTAACTTTTGCTTAACAATAAGATGATGATGATGATCATTGAAATTTCATTTACATATGGCATATTTAATAACAGCATAACATAATATGAATTCTGCCTTACAATTAAAACCCAATTTTAATTTTAGTTTTACTAATACTGCATAATTCTAAGACATTCCTATAAGTCCTACATGTTGAACATAGAATACTAAAGTTACTAAACTACCCTAACCATTTTATCTGACTAGAATATTTAAAAAGTAATTTTTAAGTAAATATCTCTTACATTACTTTGTTCTTACCATAGTAGCAATTTTAGCTTGCTCAGTCTGTGATCTTGTAGATACCTCATTACTGCTAGTCTGTGGCACCTCTACATCTGTTACACCATAGTCTTTGCACCTTTGCAAAAAGTCCCTGAAATTTATCAAGAATACAATTTAAACTTGTGTGTCATGAATTTTTTTTTTTTGAAAACTGGTTAAAATATGTTGAAATATATTTAAATCAAATTTGCAAATGTACATAAAAAGTTTTATCAGTGTTCCTCCTTAGGATTTAGTAGAGATAATGGAAAAGATAGGTACCAAACATTATAATTATTCAATTTATGTTAACAACATGTCACATAAAAAAACAGTAATAAAATCAAAATTAAAATATCTAAAATCCTATACCTAAAATATATTTCAGCTATGTTAATAATATCTTTCCGTGGTTGATTACACAGCTTCAAACTAAGTGTACCAAGCAGTGCTGGCAATAAGAGATATTGTAATGTTTCTGTTGGAAGCTCTTCTAAGCTTTCATTTTTACTGAACATACCAGTCATGGACACCAATTTTGTAGCTTTTTCAAATTTTGAAATAGCTGATTTTATGTTTAACTGCAATAAAACAAGTGATATTAAGATGTAAACAATATAAAATTGGCAATCTAAGTGTATAATTATAGCATAAATCTTTCAAAATGGTAATGTTTTTGCAAATACACTTATGACATTTTATTGTTTATAAAATAACCCATAGTAAAATTAAACTTGCCTGCACCGGGTCACTATTAGTAGCTTCACTGCCGTTTTCTATTTTATCAAATAGCTTCATAGCTTGATCAAAGATATTTTTTAAGGATTCCTCGTCTGTAGAAACATTCGCATTACTTTGTGACATGATTGAATGAAGGTATTTATCCAAATTTCAATGAAATAAATATAGGTTTTATCTTCGTAAATACAAGATCGCGTCCGATTTGTTTTTTTTAGAAATCAGATATTTATTATGTATTGACAAATGACATTTGACGACGACGGGAAATAATTTTTGCCATTTTCTCCCGCCAGATGTCGCGATCACTTTGAGCTTCAGTATATTGCTAACATGTTGAAAATTTTTCATTTTGTCCAAAAATTCATTGTCTGGAACTTCAGTATCAGTATTACTACAATCTGAATATTCTTGTGGGAAAAGCTCCTTTTTCAAATTTCTATTTTGTAGTCTTTCTCTTCCCTAGCAGCTGCATAAGGAGGTAAAACCTTGAATGAAGGAAAAACAGACAGCACCGCATTCTTCTTTAACTTTCGACGTTATAAAGTAAAATCTGCATTTTAAACAATTATGGTAGTTTATATATTATGTATCTGTAAAAGTTCCAAAAGAAGTAAAAAAGTGCGAAAAAAATTCACTTGTAGACGATTTGACTTTTTTAAAAATCACTTTCTTTAAAATGGTGTCCACATAGCTTTAAATATAAAGATTGTGATTTCGCTAATTTTAGTCGTCTTTTGGGAACAGTGATTTCCATTTTCTTTGCATCCTGGCACTGCACAATTTATCATTTTAACTTAGTCCATTGAAAAGTTACATTTGGGGTTGCATTTGTCAGAGGACGCAATTTTATTTTTTAGATATCAAGGAGGGGTTAGTTTAAAGTTAAATCCAACTTGCAACCCTTGTCCCACGGCTGCCATCTTGGAAAAAGGGGTACAAATGGTTTTTATCGTTTATCTGACAAACTATAGGTCTCAGAAAAAAATTGTAAAATCATTTTTGGTTGAAAATAAAGTTCTCTACAGCGACAAGTAACTTTTAGTCGTGGAACCAAAAATAACAAAGTAATAAGCGAAAATCGATGAAAATTTGAGAAAAAAAACTATTTGTCGTTATAACTTTTTTTCTGATCATTTTACAAAAAAATATATTAAACCATTTTTATAGAGGCGTTTTAAGGAATAATTTTCATTGTAAACTTTTTAAATTTTGTTCATTAATTTCAAAACTGTACATAAATAATAATGATTCGCCATAATTTTCAATCATCTTTTCATTATTTTTATAATTATCTTTTTAATTATAATTGATAATGCAATATTGTTATTAATTAATTATTGACTCTTTTCCCCACCACTTACGAGGTAGAGTCTGGAGGTGTGTTTTTTTTATAATTACTCTGTCCTTGGTCTTTTTGATTGACCAGATTGCAGCTCAGGATCTGGTTGACCTTCTATATCAAATACTTGAGGGAGAACCGGAGAAGGAAATGAAGCAGGTCGAGTTGCCGCAGTGATGGAATGACCAATAGATGCGCACTTTCTTTGCGCTGCATTTAGTGAATTGCGTTTTTGTTGGCATATTATAATTCGTTTCAATAAAACTAATAAAGTTTCGGGAATTAGAGTCTTAACGTCCTTCAGAAAATCATCAGAAGTTGGATACTGTTTTGTCTCGTAATTATAAAATTACATTAAACCAACCGCTTTCTCATAAAAAAAAAAGATCTTCGTGGAGAGAGGTCGCAGAAAATTACAGATGCAGATGCTTTGTTTTGGAGGATATTCTTTCATAGCCTTACGTCTGATACAATTTCATGCTTAAGCGACTGAATAAATTTCGATGGCCAAGACAGACATAACTTGTTATAATTGCCCCTTTTAATATTTAGTAAGGTGAAACTGCAATAACTAGTCATATAATTTAGATCATTGTAAAGAAAAATATTTAAACTCCAAAAGCCTTAACGTTTAAAGAATCCTACCTTGCAAAAGAATATATCCAAAAACAAAATTTGGGTATTCTAAAATCTGGATAACACTTAAACTTATAAAATATAAAACGCCTATAAAAATTATTTAGCTATATCGCACCTTGAACTTTATATAAATAACTTTAGTAAGGCGAGAAAAGATTTCTCGAGTTTGGAAACCTACATACATTATACATATTTACCCACCTACCTATCTTATTATTTTTTAATTACATAATAACTCAAAGGCTTTTTTTTTCAATTATAAAATAGAGAAGAATTTCTGTTTTACTGATCAAAATCTCATAATTATAATTTTACTTTCCTTTTGTAACTAAAGTTAATAAATAAAAGCTATCAACAGTTAATCGTATATGTAACATTAGACATTTTATTTTGTAAGTCAAATAAATATAATAATAAATGCATTCAAGATTTAAATTTAGCTTTCTATCACTAGATATGGTTTATAGAAATTAGAAACACATAAAATATTAATTTGCAAGCTATGCTGTTTTTTGCTCCAGCTTTTGCTTAGCCTAAAGAAACCGTCTTCAAAAGTTCTTCCCAAGCGATGCGCAATGTAAATTCTAAAAAAATATTTGGGTTCTAATACTTATATAAAACACTTTTATTACACCTTCATTAGAACATAATATTTAAAAATAAATCAGTACTGTTGGCGTCGTATGTACCCGGTAAAAAATGTATGAAAATAAACAACGTGTTTTTCCACTTACCGGCTTCAGCTTCATACAATATATTTGCTGGCTTGTTGTTTTCTACTGCTAGGGTTGGAACATGCACGGACGACTGCGACGTTGCCGTATAACTTACAATTATTATAGCTCAGCAGAAAATGTTTCGAACGATAACTAGTCAGTCCACCTTTCTTAATAGTGTTAGAAGCTACAAGTATTACACTTAATATAAATATTTTACGTTCCCAATCCCTGTAATAATATAAAATCAAGATCTTCATTTATCGATAGATAACTATGTACCTATATGTTGCATCACTACTGCCTCGTAACTTCAATGACTCAGTCCAGAGTCGTCCAGCAAGTGGTTTACACGTCATTGCGCGATCTCACGTAAGTCGTATTACATGTACCGGCCTGAAAATACGCACAATGTCTTAATCTTTTCTAGGCTCATATTTTGTATTATATATTTCCGTACATTTCTCACGTAGCCTTGGATGTAAACAATTCAATTAAATTAGCATCAATTATATTAATTGTTACGTCGTAGGACTTATTTACCCGTCTCTACGTCTTAGTTTCATACATAAAGCGGTAGCGAAAAATTCTTGTGTTTATAACAATATAATCTATTACACAAATATTTCTCAAGAACTAACAATTATTAAAATTAGCATAAAATTTACTAAGTTTAAGCATTTTGATACGATATTATAAATAAGGTATAGAGTGACCGAGGAAGTGAATGGTCATAATATTATGAACTGTTAAAGGTCTTGACTCTGGTATTGTATACCTATAGAAAAGCTGACATAATGTGGATGTATAATGCATTGTATTTAAAATATTTGTACGTATAGTGTAGGAACAATAAATATGTGCATCAACTATTTAGCTACCTAATATGGAATACTACACTACTTTAGGTCTTAGATATTAAATTTTATGTTGATATTTTTAAGTTAAACCTATTCATTCCATAGTAATTCAGTACTAAAATAAGACATTTAAAAATCACTAACCCTCAAAGATAAGTAAAAAAATGTTCATCAATATTTTTTTTTAAATTAAAAGCTTTATGTCAACAGCCTACAATATTTTGTCCTTAGAAATAATTGACTCAAACCGGTGTTTAGGTCTAGGTTATACGGGATTCCTTGCCGAGGCTAAAAATAAAAGATCGCAGATTACATGTTTTCTTGGAACTTTACTTTGATGGTTATTATTTAGGATCTGTTTTTGCTCCATGGTCTAAAGAATTTTAGTTGAATTTATTTACGTTTATTGTATACATAATATGAAAAAACCCGCGCATAGGTACTTTGTTAAAAACATGCTCTAATGCGATCTAATTTTACTTGATGTCATATTTCATCTTATGCGCATGACAAACATTCTCTTAAATCTTCTAAATAATAATTTCGAAACCTACCTCTGCCTTTTAGGGTTGTCGACGTTTTAGATTTTATATTAATGATTATTACAAAATATATATCATTCTTCCATTCTTCGTACACCAATGTAATTATTAACGACTATTGTTTCCGAACTTCTACGATAGAACATAGATTTATTTCATATACCAAATAAAAAGCAATAATAATAATAATATTTTAATTGCATAAAGAGATTGTAGTTTTCACAAATTTTGTGGTTGAGGTCCCCTTTTAAGCAAATAATTTGCCTGTATTAGGAAACCCCGCCCTTTCATAACAAAACGTAATTTAATCTTTAATCTGATTATAATATAGGTAATACAACAAACTTAAATAGATAAATTAAAAGTATTAATTATTATTATTTTATTATTAGTACTTCTTACGTAGTTTTTTTAACATCATAAAAATACTTCGTACATTTCTAAAACTATAGATCACTCTCTCTAAGTCTCTATATTTTATATTCGGGGCGCCACAAGCAGACATGATATATTTACGTCTAATCGTAATTCGTAAAATTAAGTTTTATTTTAAATTATAAGATTTGTTTATCTGAAATCTCTAATAATCTTTTCTTTTAAAAACTCATCTTGTTGTACTTGGCCCTATCCCACGCTACACGCATTAATCCCTTTTCCTTTTTCCTCTACCCACCGTCATCTGAGCACGCACCTTCCCCATAAATAAAATCAATATTCTGTTTCATACAATCTACGAGTATACATACTTTCGTCAGTCTATTTTTACTCCTATATCCATCCACATTAATACCTGATACTCTAATAACTTTCTTGCCTTTTCATGACATGCCCTTTATATGTTAATATTTTTAATGATAATACTGTGCCTAAAATAATATTATTATTCTTGTTATAGAGAGATTTTCCTTATACCCACCCTAGTTTTAGTACGTAGCGGTACTCTAATAACTCTATATCAACAACATCGACTACAATTGAATGACATTAATTGTTTTCATTATTGTTTGTGTTTCGTGAGGTCATTTGT